GGTGCGCCCGGGGAGCAGGTTTCTGGCTCAGAGAGGAATGTCTATGTCGGTGACAACTGGACATGTGAATTCACACTATGACCTGAGTTCGTTTTCGTTTAATGTGCCACATATTTAACGTTAAAGCACGTGGGCTGAGGAGACCTCCGATTGTTCACTTCTCCGGCTCTTCACCCGCAGGAGCCTCTGAGGACCCGGGCACTCGTGTGCCACCCTTCACGGGGCGCCCCTGGGGCCGGGCTGACTGTCTGAGACCTTCCCCCCTCTCCCTCCGCTCCTTCAGCTGCTCATCAATTTTTAGATTATGTTTTCATTGATGTCAGAGAGGAAGGGAGAGGGAAAGAGAGAGAAACATCCATGATGAGAGAGAATCATGGATCAGCTGCCTCCTGCACGCCCCCCACTGGGGATGGAGCCCGCAACCCGGGCTTGTGCCCTGACCGGGAATCGAGCCGTGACCTCCTGGTTCCTAGGCCAACACTCAGCCCCTGAGCCACGCCAGCCCATCAGCTTCTGGCCCTTTCGTACCCTCCACCCCTGCTCCTCGGCCTCAGCGAGAGCCTCTGTGACAGCGGTCTGTCTCCCTTTCCTAGTTACCCCCCCTTCAACCCGACTCCCAGGGGAGGGGCCCACTTGGGTGACACTGCGTGTCGCACCGGAGCCCCCCAGCCTGTGAGCTGGTCCCAGGGTGGCGAGAAAGGGGAAAGCTGGCCCCTCACAGCCCCGCTGAGAGCGGAGGAGCCCCCCGGAAGGGAACCACAGCTGTGATCCGGGGTCCCCCCCGGACTGTTCCGGGCAAGTGGGGGGGACCCTCTTTCTAAAGCTCCTCGGGGGAGCACAGGGACTTGCCCAGGCCCAGGGGCATCCTGGGGCCGGTCGCTTTCAGGGAAGGGACCTCGGAGGAGCCGTCGCTGTGTTTTCGGGGGAGGAAGCGCACAGGGCGGGGCACCGGCCGTTGGGGCAGGGGTTTCCCGGGCCTTTCTGGGCCCCGGTGCAGGGGGCAGCGACAGCTCCAAGGTGTGAGCCCCGAGGCAGTAGGTGCGGGTGCCCACTGATGGCTGCCCCAGGACCGGCTGGAGCTTGGACGGGCAAGGCGCGTCCTGAAAAGCTGCTGCCGCTGCACGGATTCCGTCGCCCCAGCGTCTGCTGGGGAGCTGCGCGGGGGAGTGCTCAGGGAACTGTCTGTGTGGTGGCGTGCCCTGTACCCCGGAGGCGCATTGTGGCCTCGACAGGCCTATTGCAAAGAAAAGCCTCTGGAAGAGGAAAGGCGCATCCGTGCGAAGGCGTGTTTATAACATGTTTATAATGTGCTTATAACGTGTTTATAACAGTTTCCCAGGCACGGGCAAGGCTGAGGGGACCTAGAGGGCAGTAAGCAAGGCCTTCCAGCTCCGCGTGCGGAGGTTCCACCTACACTGCTGACCGCAGGCTCGTTTAACACCCAGAGTCCTCGCTGTCGTTCTGACTTCACTATTTTGTCATTTTTTCCCCCCAGGAAGCTCCTAAAAGATTTTTCCAAAATAAGGGAGGAAATCAACCAAGAGCAGGGCAAGGATTCGGGGCAAGAGGCACTGGTCCACGGAGGGGAGGGGAGGGGAGGGGAGGGGAAGGAGGTCCCAGAACTGAGGGGCTGCTGAGGAGCGTCCGCTGGTTCTACCCGGGGGGGTGTTTGCCGTGCACACGTCTGGGTTGCCTCATGGCCCCCGGGCCTCTTAGGCAAGTCCCCCCGTGTGTGACTCAGTCCCCGCGTTACCGAGCAGCTGTTCAATAGAAGGAAGACGAGAAAACCTACCAGTGACTTCCTTTTCCCGGTGAAACCCTGGCTTACCCACACGGTCACGTCCATAGCGCGGGGCTGACGGGCCTGCGCCTCGGGGAGGGGAAGGTACAGAGAATCTCATGGCGTTTCTGTGACGCGGAGAAAACAAGACTTTGGCCATTGAGGTGATGATGGGTGCCTGTGGCCGGGAGAAATGGGAGAAAAATGTCTTGGCCCTGGCTGGTGTGGCCCAGTGGATAGAGCACCGGCCTGTGGACTGAAGGGTCCCGGGTTCGATCCCAGTCAGGGCCCATGCCTGGGTCGCGGCTCAGTCCCCAGTAGGGGGCGTGCAGGAGGCAGCTGGTCCCTGCTTCTCGCTCACTGTGGGGTATCTCCTCTCCGCAGGCATGGAGAAGGTGAACTTCTCGGGCGGGGAGCCGTTCCTGCAGGACCGCGGGGAGTACCTGGGCCGCCTGGTGAGGTTCTGCAAGCAGGAGCTGGGCCTGCCCAGCGTCAGCATCGTCAGCAACGGCAGCCTCATCCGCGAGCGCTGGTTCGTGAAGTACGGTGAGCGCCCCCCTCCCGAGGCCCGTCCCCTGCATGGCTGCATGTCCTTCCTCCCTGGGCCGGACCAGGCCTGCGGGGCCGGGACCAGGACCAAACAGGCCCGTTCTAATCTCTTCGCGAGCTGCGTGTGGAGTTAACGGCAGTGAGTTCTGCAGGGCTCCCATAGACATGTGTGCGCGGGCAGATAACAATCCTCGTGCGCTCAGTTCCTCGGGGGCCGGCCAGGGTGGCGAGCAGGGGGCTGGGCTCCAGCTTCCCCACCGGCAGGCAAGCCCCGCCTTTTTGCTTGTTTGCTATCACCCTTAAGTCTCCTAGAAAGTAAGCGACTGGCCCGGCGGCCTGGCTCAGGGGCTGAGCATCCACCTGTGACCCAGGAGGTCAGGGTTCAATTCCCGGTCAGGGCACAGGCCCGGGTTGTGGGCTCCATCCCCAGTGTAGGGCGTGCAGGAGGCAGCCTGTCAGTGATTCTCCCTCATCATGGATGTTTCTCTCCCTCTCCCCCTCCTTCCTCTCTGAAATCAATTATATATATGTGTGTGTGTGTGTGTGTGTGTGTGTAATATGTTAATTAGACCAGATGTCCTTCCGGACAACCTTCCAGACAAAGCTGGGCTGTGAGGGAAGCCCGGGTCCTGGGTATCAGAGGGAAGCCGGTGCCAGCAGCCAGGGGAAGGAAGACCTACTCTTGTACAAATTTTGTGCATTAGGCCTCTAGTAAAATAATAAAAGTGTAATATGCTAATTAGACCAGACAACTGAACAACCTTCCGGACGACCTTCTAGACGAAGCCGGGGCTGTGGGGGCTGAGCCCCCTTGCACAAATTTTGTGCACCGGGCCCCTAGTGTATATATATCTATATCTATCTGTCTGTCTATCTATCTATCTATCTATCTATCTATCTATATAAAGATGGAGGTCTGAAAAGCTCATAGATCTAACAAACTGACCTCCCTGAGAAGTGAGTGAGACCTGGAGGGCGTGCTGGCAGGAGCTCACACACACTCACACACACACTCACACACACACACACTCACACACTCACACACACACACACTCACACACACACACACACACACACTCACACACTCACACACACACTCACACACACACACACACACTCACACACTCACACACACACTCACACACACACGGGCGGAGAGTTTCTCTCATGTGTGAACATCGCCGGCGTCCTGTGAGGTGTCTTCTTTTCTAAGACTGTTTTACTGAGTGTAGCGCACGTTTTCGTGAGTGCTGGGGGGCGAGGGCACGCGGTGTTTAAACAACGAAAGCGAACGTGTAACGCAGGCCTGTTTCATCCCGAGGAGGCGGGAGCCGCCGACAGGGCTGGGTCCTCGGCGGAGAGCTGACCGCCGCCCTTTCCCGCAGGCCAGTACCTGGACATCCTCGCCATCTCCTGCGACAGCTTCAACGAAGACGTGAACGTCCTCATCGGCCGCGGCCAGGGGAGGCTCAACCACGTGGAGAACCTCCGGAAGCTGAGGCGCTGGTGCAGGGAGTACCGCGTGGCCTTCAAGATCAACTCCGTCATCAACCGCTTCAACGTGGACGAGGACATGCGCGCGCACATCCAGGAGCTGAACCCGGTGCGCTGGAAGGTGAGCGCCCGCGGCTCGCCCACGGTCCCTCCGCACCGTGTGGGCGGGAACAGCTTCGGGGAAGCGGAGATGGTGAGCGTGCAGCTCTGAGCCGCAGCACCAGCCGGGACCAGGGTCCTTCTTTTTTTAAAAATATATTTTTACTAGTGGCCCGGTGCACGAAAATTCATGCACAGGTAGGGTCCGTAGGCCTGCCCAGCGATCAGGGCCGATCTGTGGACCAACCGGCAGGGCGATCGGGGGGGGGGGGGGGGCCCACTGGCACCTGCCTTGGCTGGGGCCTGTGGGCTGGGGGCAGCTCCTGCATTGAGCATCTGCCCCTGGTGGTCAGTGCACGACGTAGCAACCGGTCGCTCCGCTGTTTGGTCAATTTGCATATTAGGCTTTTATTATATAGGATTGATTTCAGAGAGGAAAGGAGGGAGAGAGATAGAAATATCAATGACGAGAGAGAATCATGGATAGTCTGCCTCCTGCACGCCCCCTATTGGGGATGGAGCCCACAACCTGGGCATGTGCCCTGATCAGGAATCGAACGTGATCTCCTGGTTCATAGGTCAACGTCCAACCACTGAACCACACCAGCCAGGCCCTAGGTCCTTCTTTTATTCCTTAAAGTAGAAGCCACGTACATGCTCTCTGCCTCAGTTTCCCCTCCTGTACATGCAGGGCTGATCCCTTCTGGAACATGGGGAGGATGGAGGCCGGGGTATGCTATGTGCTGGGGGACGTCCTGAGGCCTCCGAAAGCCCCGCCTGCACTCACTATGCAGCAGAGCCAGGCTGCATGTCCTCCTCCTGCTCCGGCTTCTGTGCGCACGGACGCTGTTCCGCATCGGTCCTGAGCACACGGCTTTTCATTGCGTTCTTAGGAGGTGGCCAGGGCAAGGCCCTGCCCGAGCTGCAGCAACATTCATTCACCGAGATCTGTGCTTCCAGTCTGACCCCACTGTCAGCTACTGAAGCGTCTCAAGTTCAAAGACACCCCTGTCGTTGGTCGGCTGCCACCTGTGGTCACCTGACAATTCCCTGGGACGGCGTTTTTCCTTTCCCGATGATGCAGTCCTTATGATGGACTAATACCACACACACAGCCCTATTTATTTACTTAAAAGAATGTTGGAAAAGGCAATTCATGGCTTTGGGAGACTGTCCTTATGCATTAACTGAGAAACCGATACATCCTAGGGGCCTTTGCAGGGCATATGATTAAACTCAGTGGGAAGGACAGCACTTTGAAAATGCTTATATCTTGATTTGGGGATTACAAACAATTGGATTTTTTAAAAAATATATTCTTTTTAATTGATCTCAGAGAGGAAGGGAGAGGGAGAGAGAGAGAGAGAGAGAGAGAGAGAGAGAGAGAGAAACTTCCATGATGAGAGTGAACCATCAATCGGCAGCCTCCTGCACACCCCACACGGGGGATCGAGCCCTCGACCCAGGCTTTGGCGGGAAAACTCGGAGCCACGCCGGCCGGGCTCGATGTGTCCGCACGGCCCACGTATCCTTCCAGGAGCATTTGCTATTCTGTGGTCCAGAAACTGAGGTGCTGAAACCAGATAGAATATCACCTAGACCCGTTCTTCCTGTGTCTGCCTGTTAAGAATATCTGTGCTCCCTAAACCCCAGGGCCAGCTCAAGTGTCCCAGAGCAATGTCCTTCTAGAATGTTCCTCAGAGTGAGGCGTCGCCTCAGCTCAGGAGAGAGGAAGCTGGGGGCGGGGCCCAGGTGTGGGTGGCCCCCGACGGGACGCTCTCGCCAAGCACACGCGTGTTCCAGGTGTTCCAGTGCCTGCTCATCGACGGGGAGAACGCGGGGGACGGCGCCCTGCGGGAGGCCGAGCGCTTCGTCATCAGCAAGGAGGAGTTCCAGGGCTTCCTGGACCGGCACCGCGAGGTGCCCTGCCTGGTGCCCGAGTGCAACGACAAGGTGGGCGGCCCGCGCCGGCCTGGCCCACCGCACGCTCAGATCCATTCCGAGGGGGCCCTCTCCCCAGCCCCACGGGGTCATGTAGAGACGGGGGGACTAGGACAGTCTAGGGCTGAGGCCGCCATCTGTCCTGCACCCTCCAGCCCTGGGGCCTTTGTTTTTTTAAAAAAATATGTTTACTGATTTTAGAGAGAGGAAGGGAGAGATAGAAACATCCATGGTGAGAATCATTGATCGGCGGCTTCCTGCACGCCCCCTCCTGGGGGTCGAGCCCGCAACGGGGCATGTGCCCGTGACCAGAACCGAGCCCGGGACCCTTCAGTCCGCAGGCCGACGCTCTATCCACTGAGCCACACTGGCTAGGACAGCCCTGCGGCCTTTGCGTGAGCTCAGGGTGCCCCCTCCTCCGGCGGGCGTGGTGCCGCTGTGCAGGGCTGGTGTGAGAGATGAGCACTGGTCTCTCCTCCTGGAATATAGATGTTGAAAGGGGAGAAGTGGGTGCCAGGGGAATCAGCCACTGGGAATACCGGGTAACGAAGAGCAGGCTCTCCCACCGCGAGAGGAGAGGGGAGACGTTTTTCCAAGCGACACGGGACCCTTCGGGCACAGGGCAGGGAACCCGGGCTTCGAGGCTGGTGGGTGGGAACACACACACCCGCTGCCCTGGAGGGTTGGGGGGGGAGCAGTGGGGGGAGGTCGGGGGGGAAGGCTCACCTGGGGCCACATGCCCAGAGCCACTGAGGCGAGGTGGGAAGCGGGGAGCCGGGGTAATGACCACAGACACACAGACCCGCGGACGGACCCCAAGCGTGAGGCTGACCGTGAGACTGAGCCTGCCCCTCTCCCTTTGCAGATGAAGGACTCCTACCTGATTCTGGATGAGTATGTGAGTGTCCCCACGGCCACGCGCGGTCACGGCAGGCGGTGAGGTAGCCACGAGGGCCGAGTCAGAGCATCGTGCTTGGCCCCCGGGGGCTGGGCCAGCGTTTCATCTTTCTTTTTTTTGTTAATCCTCACCCTCGGATATTTCCCATTGATTTTAAGGGGG